ATGACACGATTTTATCCGACCTGAAGCGCAAACCAATCCATCATCATGATATCTCTTCTGTTTTCTCCTTCCAGAAATACACGATGACATTTCTTTTTTTGAATTTCAGTTATAAAAAGTTCACGAATACTTTTTCTGAAAGCAGTAAACAACTGAGGAACGGTCATCTCATGTATTGGTATAAGCTGCCATCCATCGAGCTGGATAATGCTTTCTCTCATGTTTACTAAAAACAGAGTAAACAATCATATTAGAGGTGATATTTTAGTAGATTTAAACAAACTGAATAAGAGAAATTAAATGCGATTTTCTGATGGAGGTTATTTTTAGTGGCCCAAGTTTTAGGTGGGCCGCCTGTCCTGTGAACCAGCCTTAAATATGCTACAACTAATAAGCCCCACTGGGCATCTGCAATATCTGAAACCATTCAGGTTTTTGCACTGCGATTCTACTGCTATTCTCATAAATAAATAGATAAGTTCACCAGGGCAACTTGAAACTGCTAGATAACGCTAATCCTGTATATTCAGAACGAAGTATACCTATAAACCTTGTCAGTTATAATTTATTATAACAGGAATGTCATTCCATCATCATTGAAAATAGTTCACCTTAACGTCTCATGCTTCTTCAAGTCCTGAAGACAACTGTGTAACAAGTCTAATTCTTAAGGTAATTATAATCATGACATTTGTTAAATTGTTTATTTGTAGGGATTTGACTTATTTTGAGTTTCAGTCACTGATTAATGACATCAATTAGAGAACCATGGAAAACCAAGCCTGGGAGTACTGCTACATAGCTGTCTCCTCCATCATAGTGCTTGGGAATCATCGGTAGTACGTATCCACAACCGGAGTTCAAACCTGGGACCATCCAGTTACAAAGTAAGCTTGTAGACCATTCAACCCTCGGGATCCGACTCGATTGCCAGTCAATGCATTCTCCCTTCTACCAATTCATGATTTATGGTGTATCTACTGGCAGTGTCAAATGTGACGAGTATTTGTCATCACTGCCGACCGGATGGAACCAACTGGTCACGACTGCCCATGAGCCCCAAAGTAGGATGAAACAGCTGTCCAGTGCTTGGTGCTGGTTTTCAATGATCGGTTCTTTAAATGACATCAATCGGTTATCATATTTGAAGCAAATCAAGAAATATAGCGAAAATATTCATTCAGACATCTATAAAACACAAAATAATTGAGCACAGAATATCCTTTTCGATACATTTTTGATTACGAAAAATGAGAAGGAAGCAAAAAACATCCTGGATAAATTTAACGATGTTCATCCTGCAATTAATTTTACTATTGAGAAAGAAAAAGACTCTAGTATTTCATTTCTAGACGTCCTTATGACCAGAAAAGAGGATGTGTATATAGAAAACCTACATCAGCCGGGCAGTATACTCATTATTTTTAGCTTCGTGCCCTTCAAATACAAACGCAGTCTGCTTAAGTGTTCGGTTCACAAAGCTAGAGCAATCTGCTCGGATGAATGTCTTGATGAGGAACTCAATAATATGAAACGGTTGCTAAGTGAAAATGGTTATCTAGAAAAGTTTATTGATAAGAATATGAATCTAAAATCAAAGCAGCCCAGGCTACCAACAGTTCCAAAAAAGGCCTTATTCTTACAAATACAGTTCCTTGGAGACAACATCAGCGAGATACTAACACAGCGCCTTAGAAATGAGGCGGTAAAACGAGCATTCAGTGCTGCTGCCGAATGACGCTGTGTCTTCAAAACCACCCACCCGTATTTTACTTTCGGGAGTAAAAGACAAACTGCCTAATTTCGCCTCTTCCATGTGTATCTACCAATTTAATTGCTCGTGTAGAGTGAGCCAGTTACATAGGCCGTACAATTAGGCCTTTTTCCCTTCGAATTTCCGAACATCACCCTGCATATTGGTTAAGCAAAGGACAAACAAAATCTATTCTCAGCGCTATTCTATCTCATCTTGTGGATACAAAACACAAGATTGATGTTAACCATGCATTCAGGGTCACTTACCGCATACCTACGAATCTCGATTTCACCTTTAGTTGTACAGTGGTTAGGACTCTCGCCGACCGTGCACATGGTCTGGGGTTCGATCCCCTGCCGGCGCACACCCAATATCTATGGTCGGCCTGAATTTGGGCTACCGATATCCATGCTGAAAATTCTACACTTGTACTGAAAATACGGTGTGGAATCAAGCTGTAAATCAAAATAAAAAATAAATAAATAAAATATAATAGTAGAGCCAGAAGAGGAATTTATGGAAAAGGATATTCTTTGCTCAATTATTTTATGTTTTATAAGTCATGAAATAACTTACAAAAATGATCACATTTCATGTTAGAAGGCTTATTATGATAGTCGGTATGAATTCCTATAGCTAGGTTTTTGTGTCTTTTATTCCCCGTAAGCATATATGAAATTCGAACACGTGACAACATGTGAGAGAAAAGTGCGTTCCGGGATTTCTGCCAATCATCTACCACCATTTAGCACCATCACCATCACCAGGAACAACAGGGACTGGACGGAGACATAACATTGCTTCCTTATTTTTCTGTATTTCTAAACGTTCAAAATGACCTTTGCAAATAGCGTGAAGTTTATCTCAAATGGACTGAAACTGATAAAGTTTCTAATTAATACAGTCGTTTGTTTTCAACCAGAAGAATTTTTGACAGCTTTACAATGGTTCTCTAACCAATGCCAGTTAACCATGATGAAATCCTGAAATCAATCAAATCGCTGCTGACTAGTTGTCCACGTAGGTAGTTACCTGGATAAGTTATAGTGGTAAGTCGTGACCAGTGGGGTGGGTCAAGCAGGTCGGGTGTGTGAGGACAAATACTCCTCACTGGTGACATTGGATAATGCCAGTTCAACTTGATAGTGCGTGAACTGGCTATTGTATGGAGTCGCAGTGGCCGAATTAATGATCTACAAGCTCGCTCACCTTGTAACTGAGAGGTTATTTGTTCGAACCCTGTCAGTGGGTACGTACTGGTGAAGAGTCTTAAGAACTATGACAATGGAAAGAGCTGTGTTGCAGTACTCCAAGGTGGTTTTCCAATAGTTGTATAACCGATTTCAGTTCATAATGGAATTCTGTAATGAAAACAACGTTCATATGTCGTTCGAAGACACCACAAAGAGTTAAGAGAATCAAGAAATGTTCACTTTAATCGAATTTTCAGCATCACACTGCTAGGATTGCAAATCATTGTCAGTTTATGTAGGGAAGAGGCCTTGATGGATATTACTAAAAACGTGAGAGTAGAAAATTGTTAGATCAAATGAGGAGTTGTCTTCCAGTTGTGTTGTATTGAGTTGGTCAACACTTCGACAAGAGTGGTCTGAGGACGCTGAACATACTGTCCGGTTCAGATGTCTTTTCCATAGCTGGATATTTTGACCGTAGCATTGTTTCTTTTTCTTCTACGTTAAGGTCCAGGAAATCAAACTCATCGTTGTGCTCATATTCCATGGTGAATTTAATGTTTGGTTGGTTCTCACTGAGACGGTCAAATACGAGTCATTTCGTCAAGATTTCCAAATCCTTCAAAATATTAGACATGCAAGGGACAGCAAATTTACTACGATTTGATTATACTTGGATTAGTCATCCATATTAGTAATTTCAGCTCACTGAGCGGGTTTCCAATTTTATGAACAATATAACCTTCTTGAATGGATATGTGAACCTACACGTTAGCACTGTTTATTAGGTTTTTCTGTTTTCTATCTTCTCCTCACCCCCACCCTCCTTTCTTAATAATAATAATAATAGTAATAATAATAATTTTTGCTTTATTCCAAAAACAGTACTAATGATACAGCAAGGAATTTTCAGCATTCAGTACAATATTGCATCTCATTTACTCAAAAACGACAAAAAAACAAAATAAAAAATAAACATTACATAATAATAATAATAACAACGAAACGTTTTTATAGCAGCTATTTAGCAAATTACTGTATGCAGTACGGAGAAAAATATGCATAAAGTATAAAATTATAGTAATAATAGTAATAACAACTAAAATAAAAATAGCAAAGTTATAATTAAACGATAGAAAGGGTAACACAATAAAATTACAGAAAGATGAACAATTAAAGGTTCGATTCACTATGCTAATTACATAGTAACTTATATGTTTCACGTCTAACAGAGTCTTCATCACATAAAATACGGGCTAAACAGGGAGGGTATTGTAGAATTTTTGTACTTTGTGGTTCGAGCATATAACTTTTCATATTGACTTCTCGTCCTGCCTGATGAGATACAAGGGGATAGTTGTGAATAAAGAGGGTGCAGATGGTCTGAAAGTACGGCCTTTGCCCATTTTGTACGGGAATTTGCGTGTCTCTCGACTATAGTACTGGCGAGCTCACGCATTGGCAAACCACAAGCCCTACTCACAGCATTTAATACCCTTCGTAATATGACATAGTCTTTTTTGAGAAACCCAGGAAAGATTAATGGAGAGCAGTAGAGTACAATAGGTAAAATACAGGAGTTTAAAAATTGCAGAACTAAAGGTTGGTTGATACCTGATTGTCTTAACTTTTTAATGTAGAATGTAAGACGAAACATTTTCCTAGAAATTAATAAGATGTGGGATGACCATGAAAGATCAGAGGAAAGAACTAATCCAAGGTATTTAATGCTTGACTTGGTTTCAATTTCAGTGCCATCTATGCTAAATGCATCATGGGAACTAACAAGTCCACGTATGTCACGTCGATGCTTGAAAGTAAAGTTAACTGCCTGACATTTGGAAGGATTTAACATAAGACCATTTGACTTAGACCACTTACTGATGTCCAACAGAAAGCTACCAAGTTTGGAGCAGTCAGACTTGGAAGTGATAGGCAGTGATACAGTCAGATCATCAGCATATCTGACAAAGTTAGTTTCGTTTTAAATGAAAGCATATAAATTCATGGTAACTTGAATTAAAGGCAATTGTGATGCTTGCGTATTTCAGATGCGTTGGATTTAAGTGTTTCCTCCACTACTACTACTACTACTTCTACTACTACTACTACTACTACTACTACTACTACTACTACTACTACTACTACTACTACTACTACTACTACTATTACTACTACTACTACTACTACTACTACTACTACTACTACTACTACTACTACTACTATTACTACTACTACTACTACTACTACTACTACTACTACTACTACTACTACTACTACTACTACTACCATTCAAACACTGAGGTATGCTATTGTCATCCTCTTTCAGAATTCCAGGTGGTAGTGTGCAGCTGATGAGGAGGATCTATGAAATCGAATGATGATATCATTATTTCATACTTCAAATCTGGTCTTTCTTCCTTTCTTAATCGAAATTTATCAAAGGAACCAAATATTTGAAATTGAAGTTATTTATTATATACTTTTATTTCAAATAAAAGGAATATACACATTTGATCATAGGGAATAAAAAAAGACAGTTGCAACAAAGAAAATTTTCTTTTCGACGAAATCATCAACTAGGCTGTACATTCGTGTATTTATAACAAATGGATGGGAAAGTTCCAGAATAATTTCCGATCAAGAGTCAAATTCATAAAATTACAATTAGGAATTAAAATGCCATAATAAACAGGGGGAGGGTGACGGATAAAACTCAAACAAAGTAGCATCACAATTACTGAGAAGATTGACATATTGTGCAATTGGGGAGGGGGTGGTTAGAAATGTAGAAATAACAACAATAGACAGGATGTTTGGATAACAAAATCTAGTGGGATCATAACTAATGTGACGAATAATTGTTTATGCAGTTAGGGATTAAATATGTAGAAATAATAAAATGACAAAATAAACAAGAAGTTTGGATATGAAAATATGGTAGTGTAAACAGGGATTAAGAAAAACTCAAAAATAACATGAATAAACAGGAAGTTTGGATAAGAAAGTCAATGGGATAGTCACTATTAGAAGAATTACCTGTTTATGATGGCCACGGCAAGGACAAGGGTTGAACGTATTTCTTTTGGATACATAGCGTGGGTTTGAGCTTTGGATAGCTAGTGCCTCGGCTATGCCCAGATGTCTTAATTTCACTCCCTTTGATAGGTTTGATCGAATCTTGTATATTATTTTGAAGGATTTTTCGAATGGCACTGAATATCCTGAATTGACCAGATGTTCTGTCAATGAACTATATACACACTTTCATTCTCCTTTTACTAGCCAGGCTGGAGAGAGAGCGTTTTCCAAGTTGGCGCATGGTACGGCCGATGCACTCATCTCCACAAGAGTGAGTAAGCTGGTATATGCGCGTTGAAGTGGCCCAATGTGACAGCTTGTCTTTCGCTTTCTGGCTGAACAGTTTCTTACAGGAAAACGTTAGTCGTAGGCTTGTGGCGACGTATGTTTTCCTCGGAGATTTGCAGAGGCGTTTACGAAGGATTTCTGCTTCAATATCACCTTTGAATCCTAGATTAAGTAGAAGTATCTTCTTCGAGACGGACTGAACTTGTTCGGAGTCTTCTTTGATTTGAGATTCTTGTCTATGAACCTAGGTGGAAAACCGTTTTCCATCAGGGTTCTTCGGAGATTACTGAGTTCTTCATCAATCACCTCCTCACTGCATATCTTCCGAATCCTCGAGGAAAGAGCGTACATCAGCTTCCTCTTTTTGCCTACCGACAGCACCTTATATTTTTGTAGAGGAAAAGCTTGACAGAAGGTTTGCCCGTTAAAGTATTCCAGTCGTAAGTATTTTCTGCCTAGCATCGTCCATCAAGGACTACAGAGCAAGAAGTAAGTTTACATGTTGAAAAGAAACATATTCTCGTCCAGATTTAGTTTCTGAAATGCCTTCCGATTATTATCTTACAGGTAAGTGAGAAATCAAACTGTAGCATGAATCACAACGTCTAAATTAACAAAAATATTCAGGTATTTTAATGCTGAATGTAAACCATAATGCTACTAGCTTGAACTGCGACTTTCTGCATTAGGTAAACTTAATTAGGCACTTGAAGTAGGTTGGTGTATGGTGACTAGCAGTGACTAGAATCCAGCATAACGCACATTTCACCCTCCGAATTGGAGAATACTCGTCCGCTACCTGGATGTACCTGTATTCCATAGTCAGTGATAGTGTTCCCATGCACCCGTGGTTTCAAATGCCAAAAAGCGTTATCCATTAGACCATCTGGGCCACGAGATCCACCTTTATCTTGTGCAGCGGCTATCAGTTATCTTTTTTTTCCTTCACGTTCCCCAGTGGAACACAGGGCCTCAAGCTAGTGGCTTGAAGTTTCTGTAGCAGTGTTTTAATTTTTACAGAGTGGGGTTGCTAGCCTCATGCCCAACATTTCCTCTTTACCAGCATTATTTCTGGCTCAGCAAGGTAAAGGAGTTCGTCGGCTGAGTATCTAACCCCGGACCATGTACATGGTCGACGAGCGTCCTAACCGCTATGCCACCGACGCCGATTTGGGCCTGAAGTCCTTGGCCTCAGGTTGATGACATGTCGGCTCCTTGTGAGCCAGTTTACTTCAAATTAAAAAAATCAGACATCGATCATCGAAGCATCTGCACATGTAGCCGCCGACATATCATTCTGAGTTCAAGCAAGTCAGTCCACTCCCACAATCAACGGGAATATCAGAAGTGAATCAGATCATTAGGCACTATTTGTTTTACCATTGGGAAATAATCGATTGTACACATGTTTATTTTAAAGACATCCCAATAATATTCACCTAACTAATACAAAACAGTTTAATGCCTTAATAAAACGCAAGAAGAAAGTAACTTTGTTTTAAGACAATCTAAATATGCTACAAATAACAAAGTTCATTAGCCCCACACGTCAATTAATGTTTGTTACTTTGCAATTGATTTCATATATATATATATATATATATATATATATATATATATATATATATAGCACAGCAATTGTATACAAATATTTCTGTGAAGTGTATTGGCAATCCTTTTCTTATAAGATAAACTATAGTAGCTTTAAATTGGATCACCAGCTGTTTGTTTGTATCAATGTTAACAGTTTACCAAAATTTTTTGTAACAGGATTTCATCATGACATGACGTCGGTTAGAGAGAACCATTGGAAAGCCAGCGGGGAGTATTGCCACACAGCTGTTTCGTCCTAGTGTTTTGAACTAATCGATGGTACGCAACCACTACCAGGGTTCAAACCCGATGACTTCTTGGTTGCAAGGCAAGCTAATGGAATATTCAGCCACCGAGACCCAACTCAATGGCCCATGAAGTCCAAATTTCACCAATTTTGCGACATATATATAGGGCAACCACACGACAGATACTTGATGGATAGTAAGTTATTAATATTATTGTTCCCTTGGGTTCCTAGTGGAACATAGGGCTTCAACTACACGTCTCCACTTGCTTCTGTCTTCTGCTGTACTTTTCACTTGCATCCATGTTAATCCATACTGTTTCAGCTCCTCTTCACACGATCTCCTCCATGTCACCCTTGCACTGACGTCCCACTCGCCGCTTCCCTTTCTGGTTCCACTCGAGTGATGGCCTGACGCGCGATGTCACCCAGCGGCCTCCTCAGCGAGTGTCCAATCCATCTCCACTTTCTCCTGCATATTTGTTGAGCGATTGGTTCTTGTTTTGTTTGTTCCCATAGTTTCTTGTTGGTGATTCTTTCCGGTCATATGATCTTCAGTACAGAACGAAGACAGTTGTTGATAAAGGTCTGCAACAGGCTGTCGGAAATATTCTTTGTGACCCGCCAAGTTTCTGATCCGTATAGAAGAACTGACTGACTTGAAGTTTGTATTGAAAATCCGAATTTTGTTGTTGATGCAGGCTGAGTGACAGCGGAAGATTTCCAGATTGGTTTCAGGTTGATGAATGTGTTTCTCGCCTTCCCGATTCTCGATTTGACATCCTCCCTCGTCCGTTCCTCCTGTAGTTGAGACAATGCTCACTAGATAAGTGAATGAAGTAACCTCTTTCAAATCCCTCCTGTTGATGGTGATTGGCGCTGGATGTTGCTGTTGTTGTTGTTGGTTGGTTATTTTCATAACCTCCGTCTTGTCTATGTTCACCTGGAGTCCTGTCTTCTCTGGCTGCTTCTTCGACCAGTTTGTCGGTTTTTGCTTGTAAGTCTTCGATTTTGTGTGACATCAAACATAAATCATCCACGCGCGAAATCCAGGTCTTCTAGGTTCTTCACGTCGGTCCAGGATATCCCTGTCTTCTTGTTTCCCACTGTCTGACGCATAATCCAGTCCACGACAATTAGGAATATCATTGGTGATAATAAGCACCCTTGTCTGACTCCTGTGTTTACTCCAAACGCCTCGCTGAGTTTTCCGTTGTGGATCACTTGACATGTGCCGTTGTCGTACAGCTGTTGAATAAGGTTGATGAATATTTGCGGTACGCCGTAGTACTCGAGTAGTTTCCAAATTACTTCGCGGTCAACGCTGTCGAAGGCCTTCTCAAAGTCTATGAAGGAAGTTGAGGTAGAGGTTTGATTGCCATTCCATGCTTTGTTCTGATGATGATGCGTAGAGTTACAAGTAAGTAGGCTTACATAACCCTTGTAGAGAGCATATTATTTGATTGATAAGGGTTGATAACCTTAATGAACGAAATATTCTCATATTGAGTCGTAAGAAAATTTTCTTTTTGACAATGAATTTTCATAAGCTGTACAATCGTAATTATATTTAATAAGGAATTCATAAGACCAATCCGATGGTAGTGAAATTTATCCTCGGAAATGTATTAAGTAATGTTAGGTGTAGTCTAGAGGGGGTAACTAATTAGAAATTAGAAAAGGTGGCAGAAGTCGGCACGACGTAATAATTGTGAAAAATTTACTAATCATTATAGTTGTGTAGAGTGGAGAAGAACTAGTGGAAAGACGACAAAGTGTTTTTATAAAATCTGTATGAAAGCAGGAGTGGAGTGATAATCAAATAAGGATGATGAGAATAATAATAATAAAGTTACATAATAAGTGGAAGCAAAATTATAGCGAGAACGCTACTCTGGCCACGGTAGGGCAAGAGAAAATGTATATGGCGCTTCTGAATCCAGAGGTCCGGTTTCAAATCCTGAATAGCCAATCATACAGCTATGTACAGATGGCATATTCGAAGTCCTTCTGAATGATACTGAGGGAATTTGCGTAGCAGTGTGAAGCATTCATGTGCGGGAGTGCTTGATGGCAAGAGTTGACAAGGTGTTCG